GCATACAAGTCTTTCGGGGTTGATCTCTTACCTCCCCCCACCAACCCTCCCCAGCCTTCCCACTGTAGTTTGACAGTCTGTTCAATGCTGTTCTGCCTCTGTATCTATTTTTGTTCATCAGTTTATAATTTTCTTTATTATCCATATTTGAGTGAGATCATGTGGTATTTTTCTTTCATTGACTGGCTTATTTCACTTAGCATAATGCTCTCCAGTTCCATCCATGCTGTTGCAAATGGTAAGAATTTCTTCTTTTTTACAGCAGTGTAGTATTCCATTGTGTACATGTACCAGTTTTCTAATCCATTCATCTGCTGATGGGCATTTAGGGTGTTTCCAAATCCTAGCTATTGTAAATTGTGCTCCTATGAACATAGGGGTGCATATATCCTTTCTGATTGATGTTTCTAGTTTCTTCGGATATATTCCTAGAAGTGGGATTACTGGGTCAAATGGGAGTTCCATTTTTAGTTTTTTGAAGAAACTCCATACTGTTCTCCACAGTAGCTGCACCAGTCTGCATTCCCACCAGCAGTGCATGAGGGTTCTTTTTTCTCTACATCCTCGCCAGCACTTGTCGTTTGTTGATTTGTTGATGATAGCCATTTTGACAGGTGTGTGATGATACCTCATTGTCATTTTGATTTGCACCTCTCAAATGATTAGTGATTTTGAGTATGTTTTCATATGTCTCTTGGCCTTCCTTCTGTCTTCTTTTGAAAAGTATCTATTTAGGTCCGTTGCGCATTTTTTGATTGGGTTGTTTATCTTCCTTTTGTTAAGTTGTATGAGTTCCCTGTAAAGTTTTGGAGATTAAACCCTTATCAATGACAACATTGGCAAATATGTTCTCCCATGCAGTGGGCTTTCTTGTTGTTTTGTTGATGGTGTCTTTTGCTGTGCAGAAGCTTTTTATTTTGATGTAGTCTTATTTGTTTATTTTCTCTTTAGTTTCCATTGCCCTAGGAGCTGTATCGGTGAAGATATTGCTTAGACATATGTCTGAGATTTGCTGCCTGTGGATACCTCTAAGATTTTTATGGTTTCCCGTCTTATGTTTAAGTCCTTTATACATTTTGAGTTTATTTTTGTGTATGGTGTAAGTTATTCATTTAGTTTCATTTTTTTGCATGTATCTGTCCAATTTTCCCAAAACCATTTATTGAAGAGACTGTTTTGATTCCATTGTATGCTCTTGCCTCCTTTGTCAAATATTAACTGAGCATAGTGGCTTAGGTCAATATCTAGGTTCTCTATTCTATTCCATTGATCTATATGTCTGTTCTTGTGCCAGTTCCAGGCAGTTTTGAGAACAGTGGCTTTGTAATACAGCTTGATATCTCGTATTGAGATCTCTCCTACTTTGTTATTCTTTCTCAGGATTGCTGAGGCTATTGGGGCTCTTTTTTTATTCCCGATGAATTTTTGGAGAGTTCATTCTAGGTCTGTGAAATATGCCATTGGTATTTTAATGGGGAGTGCATTGAATCTATAGATTGCTTTGGGCATTTTAATGATGTTGATTCTACCAATCCATGAACACGGTATGTTCTTCCCTCTGTTTATGTCTTCCTCTATCTCTTTTTTCAGTTTCCTGTAGTTTTCTGAGTACAGGTCTTTTACCTCCTTAGTTAAGTTTATACCTACGTATTTTAATTTTTTGGTGCACTGGTAAATGGGATTGTTTTTTCCATCTCTCTTTCTGTAAATTCACTATTGGTATATAAAAATGCCATAGATATTTGGGCGTTAATTTTGTATCCTGCTACATTGCCGAATTCATTTATTAAGTCTAATAATTTCTTGATGGAGTCTTTAAGGTTTTCTATGCACAGTATTTTAGCTTTGCATATTATTAATTTACTTGTTAATTAGAACTAGAAGGATTTTTATCATTACATGAACTACTTAGAGAACTGAATTTGATACCGCACCCTCAGATTTTATTTAAGGTTGATAAGAGAAATGACTACATGAGGAATAAATCTCCATCTTCCTGGAAACTATTATTAAATACACTGTCCATTGTGGTGTTTAAAGGCCCTTATATAAGAAAGCATGTGATAAATTGCCTTAAAATTTTAGTACCAGAAAAAAAGTTTGTCCATTTTTACAAATAAGTATGATTTCTTTTTATAATGCTGTGTTTTTCCTGTATGATTTATCAGGTTTCCCTTTTGGCTTTGGCTGCTAGAAAGCTCAGAGCTATATTTATTGACAAACCACAGCAATAAATAGCTGCCTAATTTTGCAGAAATACTCTAGGCCAAAGCACTTGAGTGTTTGCCCTCAACTAAATGGTCCCATGATATGCATGTTATAAGTTGTCTCAAATCCAATTTGTAAATAGGAAAGGATTAAATAATTAATGAATAAACAAATAAGTAATTTGAACTCAGCAGGCTTGGTCTTTGGCAGTAGAAAATGCTCACACCTAGTGAATGCCTATCAGGCATGCTGCTTAATCTGAAGCACTGCTCTGGATTGAGTGTGCCCCTGGTTGCAGCCTTGGACATCTGAGCCTTTCTGCTACTGAGGGCCACACATTCACTCACCCATCCCATCATGCTGACTCCTTAGTGGTGGTCTCCATGGCATCCAATAAAAATAACAGGTTCAAAAGGGTGGGTCCAAGAGCAGGGTACAGATAAATTAGCAATTTACACATGGGCCATAACCTTTAAAATAGTTAATGAAACAAGATCTTGCTGAAATGGACCAGAAAATAGAAAGACAATTTTCACACACAGAAACAAACAATTTTTGTGTGAATGTGTGTGTGTGTGTGTGTGCGCGTGTGCCTGTGAGTGTGTGTGTTTTTATTACAATGTTCAACAGTAGACTAAAAATGTCAGGTGAGTTAAGATACTTCTTTGACCTTCCTGAAAGGTCAAATATGTATTCTTATTGTTAATATTACATCATTTTACAACATGTTAAGTGATAAAAAGGGAACCAACAATTTTTGAAAGGTGGGTATAAATTGTTACCTCCATTATTTCATTTAAGGGACACCAGTGCTCTTTTTCTCGGGCACACATAAATTCTTCAGCAACCTCCCTAACAACTAGTAAGGCACTACTATAATAGAGGTTGTGTTGGATGATTTGGATACAAGGGTAAGTAAGATGGCTTCTGGTGATGTAGTCCTGATTATAGGGTCTTAAGCTTTTACTGGCAAGGTGGCTTTCTGTGTGAGCGACAGACATCTCAACATCTGAGGGAATTGCTTGGTCCTTGCAGCTCTACAACTGCCCAGAACAACAGGACAGACATCATTACCAAAATTTTGCCAGGATTTGGGGTTGTTGTGTGTTCATTTTCATTTGTTTCCAGGAATTTTTTTTATGTCTTCCTTTATCTCATTGGAAACCCATTCATTGTTTAATAACATGCTATTTAGCCTCCATATGGTTGAATGTTTTTGAGTGTTTTTATTGTAGTTGATTTTTAGTTTCATGCCATTGTGATCCCAGAAGATGCTTGCTATAATTTCAATCTTCTTGAACTTATAGAGACTTAGTTTGTGTCCTAACATGTGTTTTATCTTTGAGAATGTCCATGTGCACTTGAGAAGAATATATATTCTTCAGCTTTGAGGTTAAATGATCTGTAAATATCAATTAAATACATCTGATCTAGTGTGTCACTTAAGGTCACTGTTTCCTTGTTGATTTTTTGGTCTGGAAGATCTATCCAGTGATGTCAATGGGATGTTAAAGTCCCCTACTATGACTGTCTTTCTATCAATCTGTCCCTTAAATTCTTCCAAGAATTTAGGTGTTCCTATATTGGGTGCATATATATTTACCAGGGCTATATCCTCTTGTTGAAATGATCCCTTTAGTATTATGTAGTGTCCTTCCTTGTCTCTTGTTATGGCCTTTGCTTTTTGGGAAAATGAGCAACATCTGTAATACTCTCAACAATAGAGATCAATAAAACAAAAAAAGATTTGCCAAGAAATTCATGTTCAAAGGACAGCCAAAAACAGCCTAGGAGCAAATGGACCAGGCAGACCCCTGGGGCCCAAATATCTTCTATTCTTAGGGGCTACCTCATATTTCATACGTGAAATTTCATTCAAGGTAGTGATCCTTGGTCCCCACCAGCCCAGGCTCTGGAATCAAATCTCCTAATTTTAAAACTTAGCTCTACCACTTACTATTGGGTGAGTAAACCAGGTTTATATGCTTCCTAACTTTTAATCTTTCTATAAATTAATGAGAACCTTCCTACAAGGCAGTTAGCAAGCACCCAGTGGTAGCATAGTTTACTTTTCAATATGTCAACTTTTATTATTATTTAGATTTAAAGTACCAACTATTAAAATGCAAATTACTTTAGGGAGATATCCTGTTACCAATTAACACTTCAGGAGGGATTCTCACCACTTGAATGTTAGTTAAGATGTAGTGAATATCAAGGATCAGGGATTGAAACCCAGGAGAAGCAGGAAAGGGGCCAAAAGAAAGAAATAGCTTTGACATTTTATAGAAGCCACTGTGATTCTTCTACATAGAAAAGCACCCAATCGTTGCAGCTAGCCAAGTGCAAACCCTCACTGCTGCAGAAAGGCAATCTAATTGCTGAATCTAGATCACTGGATCTATGGCCCTGAGGACCTTAGGGACTGCCCCTTTCTCTATCAACTATTCCATCTCAGAGCACCCTATATATAGACTTTCTATGGTAAAGAGGCATTAAGCTGTGGAGCCTCACGTAGCTGTTTTCTGGCCTGCCATAGTATATGTGCAAAGATTTTAAACACGGTATGGACACTTGCACATCCTGGACACTTGCTGTAAACAATTATTCCTAAAGTTACCCATCACCTCTATTAATTAGTCATTTGTAGATTTTAACAACCCCTCCTGACCAGCAAGGACAGAAGAAGAAATGGCATTTTGGAGACTTTCAGTTAAGCTGTTGTGTACAAAATGGATGAATTATTATTTGTCTCTCCCAGAGTCCCCAGGAAGGCTGAGTGGGACACACACCTGTGAGGCCTGCTGCTTCCGCAGACAGGAAGGCGCTCCAAGACAGGAGGAAGAGCAGGCCCGTCTCCAGCAGAGGGAACTCATGCAGTTTGGTAAATTTGGTCAAGTGACGAAGACAAGTTAAGGGAAACAGCCGCTCTGACAGCTAAGTCTGTTAGGTCAGAGAGAGCTCAGGATCAGATATATGCAGACGTGTGATGAGATAATGGACCCTCCCTGGAATTTCAAACAGATCAGCGTGCCAGACACAGATACTGGCTTCTCCCTGGAATCCACACGACCCCCACACAGATACTGACTCCTTCCTGAATACCCTGCTGACCTCCTGTGGCGGGGACTTCCTCAGTTCATGTCCCCGCCCCTCACCCAACAGCAGTATAAACAAAGTCCCCCCTCCCTGTGGGCGCGAATCCACTGGCCCTGTCCTTGGGGTCCGTGGGTCGCCCGGGGACGCAGAATAAAACCTTTCCTTTTCTTTCTTTTCTGATCGACTCGGCTCTCTTTATTTCCTCTGCCTCCTGAGCCACCTAACAAAGTCTACTTATTGGCTGAGAGATACTGATGTGGTTGTGCTAGTTTCTGAGTAAGAGAAAGGGTTTCAGACCTGGCTAGCACGGTAACTCCCTAAGGCTATGTGAAGGTCAGCACAGCTTCATTGTTTCACTGGGTGCTTAACACTCTGATAAATATACAAACCTGTGTTCAGGTAAAAAAGAAAAAGTGTCTTACTAAGAGGAAGAAACTAGCTAACTGTACACAACCTCTTGAATTTGAATTTAGGCCTTGGGACATGCTCCTCAGGAGACTGTAGCAGATCCTGAGAACAAAGCCACAGATTGTGGGTGAATGAGAAGCTGCAGGCAGGTCATCACCAAAGGAGGCCACTGCTCCCTGGAAAGGGCTACTCTTTGGACAAAGCACCTGGAACACTCTTCTCTCCTGGAGTGGGAAATAGGATCAGGAGCAGTATTATATTCAGTGACCATATCCACTTGGTCTAAGTAGGGTAGATGAAAATGTATATTAATTCTAGGTCAGACAGATGTTCATTTTGACCAGAATAACACTTGGCCAATGGCCTACATATTGCAATTAGAGCAAAGACTTAGTGACCCAGGCTATGTGGAGAATGGGTTATGGAGAAATGATTAGGAGTACGTGATCAGTGGGAAAGGTTTACATCGCAATTGTGTCCAGGGTTAGGCAAAAACACTCTACAAATGAGATGAAATGTTGCATTTTTTATCTATCTAGAAAAAAAATCTGAAGAAGAATTCACATTAAGAGGTGTTTGGCAGCAGGGCATGGAAGCGAAAAGTATGACCCTTGGGGTAGAAGATCCAGGTCCATGTCTTGGCTCTGCTAGTCACTGGCCAGATGATTTCTGAGCAATATATTAACCTCTCTGAGTCTCATTTCTATCCTATGTGAATTGTCGAGGAGAATAATTCCTACTCATACAAGGGTGAAAAGTAAAATAATACAAAGTATATTAAAAATATTTTGTAAAGTATTAGAAGCACAAAATGTCAAGAAGAGGCAGAATGTCACTATTGAGAATATATCCTCTGGAGGTCAAGTCCACCTGGGTTCAGACCTACTGTGTCATCTTGGACATGTCCCTTGGTCACTCTGTGCCTTGGTTTCCCTATGTGAAAATGGGAATGATAATTCAACCTACCTACTAGGTGTATAAACCAGTTGCTATACATTAAGCACTCAGAAGAGTGTACCTGGTAAGCAACAGGGATATGCAAGTTTTTCTATTAGTGTGATTTAAATTAATTTGTCTTGTAAAAATCCTTTCCTGAAAATAGATTCAGTAAGGATCTGTAACTAATTCTTAACTGGAGGAAAGCAGGGGCGGCCAGTTGACCCTTTTCAGCATCCCCTTTCACTGCCAGGAGGTAGGCTTTGTTTCCAGGGGGAGCTTGTTTCTTTGGCTCCTTCTTCTACTTTGTTGCCAAGACACCTCAGGAGGTCAGGTGGGCATAGGGCATTTGTTTCTTTCACCCTTCTCCAGAAAAGAGTTCAGTTCTACGTCAAGGCCCAAGTTCATCCAGAGGCCTGCACCCTAAGGAGCCTTAACCTCCTGTGGACAAAGTGGGAGGTTGTTACCATCAGGGAATGCCTGTGCACCTATTTCCCATGCACCTAGTTGGTGAGTGCCAAGGCCACTAGGTGCAGCATGATTGACTTGCCTCTGTGACTGAGCCGCAATCTCTTCTGTCTCCACCCTTTTGTCCAGATCTAATCCAATTCATGGCAAACTTTCAATCTCTGGGAATTTTCCCCCTTCCCTATAGAGCCAGTGGTTCTCAACCTTCTGGCCCTTTAAATACAGTTTCTCATGTTGTGACCCAACCATAAAATTATTTTCGTTGCTACTTCATAACTGTAATGTTGCTACTGTTATGAATTGTAATGTAAATATCTGATATGCAGGATGGTCTTAGGCGACCCCTGTGAAAGGGTTGTTCGACCGCCAAAGGGGTCGCGACCCACAGGTTGAGAACTGCTGCTGGTATACACTCATTTACTTTTGTGTCTATGCATTCCCTCATGTCAGGCAGAGGAGAGCTTCGGGCTCAGCTCCTCCACCTTGAGCAGCTCTGGAACCAAAAGCCTGTGTTTCAATGCCGGCCCTGAAATGTCCTGGCTATACAGCCTCTTCAGCGGTAAACTTGGGGAAGTAACAGTCTCTCCCTTCCAAGATTCTCATATGAGTTGTCTGAGATAATCCATGCAAAATACTAAGGACAATGGCTGGCACATAGCAGTGTTCCCAACAAATGTTATTATTATCATGTTAATTATTACTGATATGTGACCCAGAGTGAGCTACTTAACCTCCTAGACCTCAGTTCCCCCATGTTAAAGTGAGGCTAATTATAACCTGTCTTACAGGGTTGATTAAAATGAGGCGATACACATAAAATCCCTGGCACATGCTGACATCTACTACATGTTGTTATCACCATTACTATTACTCTAAACCTGAGACCTCCATTATAATTCAACTTAAGAATTAAGAGGCAATGGGGAGTAGTAATCAGGAGCATGGCCTGTCTCTGGGTTTCACTCCCTGGGTTTGAATCATGGCTCTGCCTACCAGCTGCATGACCTTGAGCAATAACTTACCCGTTCTGAGTTTCAGTGTCCAATAAAAATAGGATCTGTATGATATGATTATTGTGAAAGTCAAATGGGTGCATGTAAAACAAATTAGGCATCCCAACATATCATAAATACTGAGTAGATTATTAATCAGTATTTTTGTTAGAAATGAGCCCTACCTTTTCTGACTTACTTTATTTATGTCAATGAGTTGGAATTCTCCAGGGTTTTCAGAACAAACTTTAGGAGTGGACTTGGTTTCTCTCCCTTTATTTATCTCTTATAGAGATATCAACAACTAAGTTTTAGAGATTATTCTAAATATTGGTCTCCTTCCAGATGTTTCCCCTATAATTAATCATCAGTTTTCCTTGATTCTAATCCCCCTGATCTGATCACCCTACATACCAGTTATCATTATGTTTTAAAACAGGACTTCCAGTGTGTCACTTCCTTTGAATGATACTCCTAAAAGCTCTGCAGCTGACTCCATCCCCCTGTGTTCCCTCATCTTCCATCGCTCACCACCCTAACGCTGTGGTCCTCCCAGGCACATTCACAACTCGCCACCTTGGTCCCACCCCATTTTCCTTGAATCACTTATCTTGTAACTTTTGCCTATATTCTACCTCTCACATGCCCAAGTCTAACTTAGCATCTAAATACTGCTTTTCAAATTATTTTCCAGAATCATGAGATTGGCCACGAGTCTATTAGATGATTCCAGACACAGTGTCCTCATTCCCATTTCAATTTTTAGAGTACTAATAAATTGGCTGTGGCTTTGGCATCCACTTTCTATCCAGCTATTATGTAGAGATTGTCTTTCAAAGTTTGTCACCAGTTGAAGACAGCATCCATGTTTTACTCATACTCCGATATCTTAGAAACCCTTAGTAGAGCTCAGCCTGTTAGTAGCTGGTCAGTCACCATGGAAAAAGACCCCAACATTTTTTTTTACCTGGACGCCTGGACGCCTCTTACACTTTCTTCCTTCTCTTTTCCTCAGAAATTTTTAGTTTTTAATCCTTTACTCTAATCTTCTCTGAGGCCTTCATTAAACTCTCACACTTAACATTGGCCTTCTGGCTTTCCTCCTCAACTCTGATTTATTTTGCCCCATCCAACTGCTCTAAGTGAACCGCCCACCAGAGCAGCTTCATTATCTGGCTTAAATCCTCTAAGAGCTCTACCAATCCTCCAACCTCTCTGCTGCAAAAGAGGGAATGAGATTGCCCAGATATGGCAGACATATTTTCTGCCTTGCTTACTGTTAGGTCGGAGAGAGCCCAGGATCAGATACATGCGGACATGTGATGAGACAATGGACTCCCCCTGGAATTTCTCACAGATCAACGTGCCAGACTCAGATACCGGCTTCTTCTCCCTGAATCCACATACCCCCACACAGATACTGACTCATTCCTGAATACGTTGCTGACCCCCCCTGCAGCTGAAACTTCCTCAACTGAATACCTCAGCTCATGTCCCCACCCCTCACCCAACCGCAGTATAAAAAAAGTGCCCCCCTCCCTGTTGGCGTGAATCCACGTGCCCTGTCTTTGGGGGTACGTGGGTCTCCCGGGGACGCAGAAATAAACCTTTTCCTTTCCTTTCTTTTCTGATTCACTGGACCCTATTTCTTGCGCCGCCTCCTGAGCCACCTAACCTAACACTTACTGGTCCCTTTCCAGGTAGTAGCCATGGATGCTTGTTTAGACCCACAATGGCCTTTGGCTTGGTCAGCACTGTGAGCTAGTGATTGATGCAAGCTTGAAAAGGAGGTAGAGGATATGGATACTTGCTTTATCATTTCTAGTCAATTAAGCCCTGTTCTTGACGTTGTACCTTCATTTTTTTTCCTTTGGACCCTAATACAGCCAATCCTGATGCCCCTACCTACCTGTTTTCTGAGATAATAATTTTTAAGATAGTTAATATCTTATGATC